AGGGGCGCACTGGAACCCCTGTTGCAATTGTGAGCTAAGGGCATGAATTCCTGCAAAGTAGAGCAAGGGATCTGCTGAAGGGGGGGGGGGGGATAAGCCAGGAGACTGATGAGTCAACAAGTAAATAAAATAACAGCTACCACATCAACACATAACCTTGCCTCAAGTCTGGCGATTTCCTCATCATCACTCCCCATTTGACATCACCCCTTTGAAACAAATAGAAAACCAGCACACACAGGGCATTTGCAAGCTTTATTAAAATCTTCAGAAAAGCACATCAATGTATTTAATGTATATCATCAATTCAAGTGTGAATGCGGGTTAAAACAAAATTCAAAAAGCGAATAATTTCAGCTCTCAGCATAAGTTGTACCTTTTTTTTTTTGTTTTGTTTTTTTTTTTTTTTTTACAGTGGGAATGCGAGGGAACACAGGTCTGCTACCCTCCAGCACTGAATTTAGTTAATGGTAAGAGGTGTTGGGGAGCAAATTGTTGCTGGGAGGAATATACTGTTCAGGCAGGGGTCTATTGTTGCTGCAGTGGATCTTTTCTTGTCAAAGGATATTTTGTTGTGGGGGGTCTATTGTTGCTGGCTGAAAGCAATCTATTTTACTTTTTTTTTTCTTGTTAAACTCCATGCAAATGACTTAGCACCACAAAATGATACTTAATTCTGTATTCTCTAAAGGATGATGCTTGAGGGTGGGTAGGGTGGGGGCACAAGAGGTGGTTCGGAAAGGGGGAGTACCTGCACCTATTATCTGAGGAAAAAAGGCCTGGAAACAAATAATACTTATGCATGACAAAATACACAAAGCTGTGTATGGCCATTTTTACAATGCAGAGAGGAGGTTTTTTTTTTTTTCTCTCCAAACAGCAGTTATAGTGGATGCTCAAGCTCAACAAACAACCTTGGGACTCCAGGCAAGGAGTATATCCGTTGTATGAAACTCCATAGCTAATTCCTGATTATTATCCTGTAATTGCAGAGATAAATCCAGTGCTACAGTTTACAGACTAGGCTCAGATCTGTCTTTTTGTAAGACTTAATGGTTTAAAGACAAAATCACTGCCAATGAGGAGGGAACGAGAGGCAGGACTGAGCCAAGTTTTGTGTGTCTCAGATACACAGAGGCGGCTCGGGAGCGAGCATACATAAGTGCCCCCAGAGAAAGCAGCTTGCGTTCGGCAAGGGCCAGAAGCATCAGCGGGGGACCAGAGAAGAGGAGGATCAGAGCTGTTCTGTGCAAAACCATTGCACAAAGATATGTGTGATGTGTTTATTATTTTAACCACTTGTCCTCTGGAAGATTAACCTCCCTTCATGACCAGACCATTTTTTGTGATACGGCTCTGTTACTTTAACTGACAATTGCGCGCGGTCATACAACTCTGTACATAAATTAAATGTATGCCATTTTTTTCCCACAAATAGAGATTTCTTTTGGTGGTATTTGAGCAGCTCTGTGTGTTTTTTGCTTGTGTGTTTTTTTAGTTTTTTTGAAAAAAAATTTAAATATTTTTGAATGTTTTGGTATAAAACATCTCCAGTAAAAAAAAAAATCTAAAAAATAAACTTTCTAAATAAATGTAGGCCAAAATGTATTCTGCTACGTCTTTGGTAAAAAAAAAAAAAAAAAAATCCTAATAAGTGTATATTAATTGGTTTACTGAAAGTTATAGCGTCTACAAATGGCGGTATACATACTGGAATTTTTATTTATTTTTTTCTATACTAGTAATAGCGGCGATCAGCGACTTATTGCGGGACTGCGGTGTGCATTCTGACACTGGGTGGGAACTAACTGCCACTGACTTCTCCAGTGACACTTAGGCTGGCCATAAGATGGGCCGTTTATCGGCCTTATTGTCACCCGATAAACGAAAAATTGGTCGGTGCCGTTACTGATGCTGCCACCAATGTCCACAAAAAAGGACGTTTTTCGTCGATTTTTCCAGCATGACCGATAAAAATAAACAAGAAGATCCGCGAAAAATGGCCGACGGGCTGGCCCCACTAACGGCGTGAATATTGGCTGATTTTTTTCGTGCGGACATCTATGGCCTGCATTATACAGTGATCAGTGCTAATAAAAAGCATTGACATTGTACTAATGACACTGGGCAGTAAGGAGTTAACATCTGGGGTGATTGAAGGATTAACTGTGTGCTGCTTTGTGCTTACTGTGTTTTGTGTTTTACTAGGGGATTTGCTGCTTTCTATCTCTCTGCTTTGTGCCCCCCTACCCAGGAATGCAAAATCATGTATCGGTGTGGCCACCCTGTAGTAGTACATCTGTTATGGGGTGGTTGTTAAATGGTTAACTACTTCAGCCCCGGAAGGTTTCTGATCAGCATATTTTTTGCTATTTGGTACTGCTCTATTTCAGCTGGCATTGCGTGGTCATGCAACTCTGTACTTAAATGAAATTTATGTTCTTTTTCACACAAATAGAGCTTTATTTTGGGGGGTACAGTGCCTTGAAAAAGTATTCATACCCCTTGAAATTTTCCTCATTTTGTCATGTGATAGACCAACACAAAATGGCACATAATTGTGAAGTCGAAGGAAAATAAATGGTTTTATAATTTTTTACAAATATATGAAAAGTGTGGCGTGCGTTTTGTATTCAGCCCCCTTTACTCTGATATCCCTAACAAAAATCTAGGAACCAATTGCCTTCAGAAGTCACCTAATTAGTAAACACAGTCCACCTGTGTGTAATTTAATCTCGGTGTGTGTGTGTGTGTGTATATATATATATATATATATATATATATATATATATATATATATATATTATATACACAGCTGTTCTGTGAAGCCCTCAGAGGTTTGTTAGAGAACATTAGTGAACAAGCATCATCATGAAGGCCAAGGAACCCACCAGACAGGTCAGGGATAAAGTTGTTGAGAGGTTTAAAGCAAGGTTTAGGTTATAAAAAAAATATCCCAAGCTTTGAACATCTTACGGAACACTGTTCAATCCATCATCTGAAAATGGAAAGCATATGGCACAACTGCAAACTTACCAAGACATGGCCATCGACCTAAACTGACAGGCCGGGTAAGGAGAACATTAATCTGAGAAGCATCCAAGAGGCCCATGGTAACTTTGGAGGAGTTGCAGAGATCCACAGCTCAGGTGGGAGAACCTGTCCACAGGACAACTATTAGTTGTGCACTCCATAAATCTGGCCTTTATGAAAGAGTGGCAACAAGAAAGCCATTGTTGAAAGAAAGCCATAAGATGTCCCGTTTGCTGTGTCCCTCACATGTCTTCTCACAAACTGTAAACGTGGAAGAAGGTTCACTGGTCAGATGTGACCAAAATTAAACTTTTGGCCTAAAAGCAAAATGCTATGTGTGGGGGGGGATAACTAAAACTGCACATCACCCTGAACACACCATCTCCACTGTGAAACATGGTGGTTGCAGCATCATGTTGTGGGGATGCTTTACTTCAGTAGGGACAGGGAAGCTGGTCAGAGTTGATGGGAAGATGGATGGAGCCAAACCCTGGGCGATCTTAGAAGAAAACATGTTAGAGCCTGCAAATGACTTGGGACTGGGGTGAAGATTCCCCTTCCAGCAAGACAACGACCCTAAACATACATCCAGAGCTACAATGGAATGGTTTAGATCAAAGCATATTCATGTGTTAGAATGGCCTAGTCAAAGTCCCGACCTAAATCCAATTGAGAATCTGTGGCAAGACTTGTAAATTGCTGTTCACAGATGCTCTTTTTCCAATCTGACAGAGCTTGAGCTATTTTGCAAAAAGAATGGGCACAATTGTCCCTCTCTAGATGTGCAAAGCTGGTAGAGACATCCCCAAAAAGACTTGCTGCTGTAATTGCAGTGAAAGGTGGTTCTACAAAGTATTGACTCAGGGGGGGCTAAATACAATTGGACACCACACTTTTCACATATTTATTTGTAAAACGTTTTGAAAACCATTTATCATTTTCCTTCCACTTCACAATTATGTGCCACTTTGTGTTGGTCTATCACATAAAATTCCAATAAAATAAATTTACATTTTTGGTTGTAACATGACAAAATGTGGAAAATGTCAAGAGGTATGAATACTTTTTCAAGGCACTGTATTTGATCACCACTGGGAAATTTTGAAAAAAAAAAAACACAATATTTTTTTTCTGTTATAAAAAAATATCCAATAAATTCAAATTAAGCATTAATTTAGGCCAAAATGTTTTCTGCTACATGTCTTTTTGGTTAAAAAAAAATCCCAATATGTGTATATTAATTGCTTTGTGTGAAAGTTGTAGAGTCTAGAAACTATGGCATATATATTGGAATTTAAGTATTTTTTACTTTCTGACTGCCTATCACATCTCTTGAGGTGATAAAATGCCAGGGCAGTACAGAAAAACTCCAAATGACTCCTTTTTTGGAGGTAGACACCCCAAGGAATTTGCTTAGAGGCATGTTGAGTCCATGGAAGATTTTATTGTTTAACCACTTCATTTCTATAGCATTTATATTTACCCCCTTCCTGTCCAGGCCAATTTTCAGCTTTCAGCGCTATTATACTTTGAATGACAATTGTGCGGTTATGCAAGACTGTACCCATATGAATTGTTCATCATTTTTTGAGACCGATAAAGCTTTATTTTGGTGGTATTTATTCACCACTGGGTTTTTTATTTTTTTTTGCTATATAAATGGAAATGTCCAAAAATTTTGAAAAAGTTTTTCTTATAAAATTTTGCAAATAAATAATATTTCATCATAAATCTTGGCCAAAATGTATTCAGTTATAAAAAATTAAAATAATTTTTACTAAAAAGATAATTTTTTTTTTCGTACCGTCACCATAGCAGTACAGTGTTACCATGGTGACACTGTACTACTTTGTGGGGGGTAATGAAGATTTTTTTTTTAATTTTTACACTGATTGCTTTTACACCCATAAAGGCTGTAAAAGCAACAATTTCTCCTCTCTGGCTGCATTCTTACAGCCATTAAAAAATACTGTGTGAGCTGTGATTGGTCACAGCTTGTCACATGATACAAGGCTGTTGTGAATAGCCTTGTGACCTCTGTGATCATTCACAGATTTCACACGTAGTAAGCAATGATGTCAGAAGTGACATCATGCATATTACTCTGCATGTGACCTGCATGAGGTCCCGTACGATGATCTGTGTTCCACTGTGTCCGGAGGACACAGCAGGCATCGGATCGCGGTGCTGCGCGCTCCGAGGGAGTGCGCACAAGCAGGGGGCGGGGAGGCTGTTTATAAATGGCCACCAGACCCTGCACTGCTACCGTCTGGCCGTTTTTTATATACAACGGCCGGACAGGAGGTGGTTATATATAAAAGTTGCCACACATTTTGGGAAAATGACAAAAAGAGGCATGGTGAGTATTTTTCAAATATAATTTTTTTTGTCACAAGCTTTTGAAATAGAAAAGAAAAAAAATTTTCGTTTTCTAATCTTAATTTTCCAAAAATTTGTGGCAACAAATAAGATCTGCAAAATACTCACCATTCCCCTTAGAAAATAATTTGGAGACTCTGCTTTCCAAAAAGGGATAATTGGGGTGGGGGGGAGGGGGTGCTTCTACTATCCTGGCATTTCAGGGCCAACATTAGAAACATATGCTACACATCACCCACTCTTCTAACCACTTGAAGACCAAGACTTTTCTTTTTTTTTTTTTTATAAAAATTACTTTGAACCCCCAAACATTATATAAATTATTGAAATTTTAAAGCAGATGCCCTAGAAAATAAAATGATGGGATTTGCAATTTCTTATGTCACACAGTATTTGCACAGCAATTTTTCAAAAACATTTTTGGTAAAAATACACTTTTTTGAATTTTGATGGACAAAACACAATGGGGTTAATTTACTAAAACTGGAGAGTGCAAAATTTGGTGCAGCTCTGCATAGAAACCAATCCATTTCCAGGTTTTTGTCAAAGCTTAATTGAACAAGCTGCAGTTAGAAGCTGATTGGCTACCATGCACAGCTGCACCAGATTTTGCACCCTCCAGTTTATGTAAATCAACTCCAATACATTGCCCGATTGATAAAATATAAAAGATGATGTTACGCCAAGTAAATAGATACCAAACATGACATGCTTTGAAATTGCGCACAACCATGCAACGGAGACAAACCTATGTACATTTTTTTATATCCATAGGCAACATTTTAAAAGCCTTTACAGGTTACCACTTTAAATTTACAAAGGGTGTCTAGTTCTAGAATTACTGCCCTCAATCTGACATTCGTAGAGATACTTCACATGCATGGCGCAATCTCTGTTTACATACTGACATAGGACTGATGCTTGCATTCACCTTTGCGCACAAGCATGGGGGGAGAGGGGGTAATTTTGAAAAAATGTGTTTTGCTTTTTTTTTTTTTTTTTCTTTGTTTACGCTGTCCCTTTTTTCATATTTTTTTTTCTCACTTTTGTTAACACAGAAAATGTAACTATCCCCTGTGATAGCAATAGGCAGTGACAGGTACTCTTTTCTGAGAAATCTGGGGTCTGTTAGACTCTCCTCTGCCCTTAAAGCATGTGATCAGATTCTTTCCCAATTTTAAAATGGCGCTGTTTATATCTGGCGAAATGCTCGTTGCTTCCGGTTTCTTAGACCATAGAGTTGATTGCAGCCATTCCGGTCTCTGATCATCTCTATGGTCCACTGGCTGCATTCACGGGTTCCCTGGTGGAATGGCAGAAACCAAGAAAGTCGTGGAAGGTGGCAGAAGGGGGGCATCCCATCCCTCTGTTTGTAAAAGCAATCCAGTAGCTAATTAGCTGCTATAATTGCTTTTATGTGAAAGCAGACTACCAGCTGAGAAAAACGATACCAAGATGATGCCTGTAGCTGTGGGCATCATCTTGCAATAACCACTCAAAGTCCAGCAATGTACCAGTACATTGCTGGTCCATGTTGGGCACATATGTAACAGCAGAGAACGCGGGCATATGATATATGCTGCAATTCATTCTGTTTTGTAATGCCTATATTGAGGGTTAGGCCCAAAAAAGTTTTACATTTGGAAACTGTGATAGGTTTCCATGTGAATTGTCTGGCAAGAGCTGAATTTTGGAGGGCAGTGATGTATTGCTGTGCGTATAAATTGCTTTGGCCCAAAATCAAGTGATACAAATCTTCCATGAAAAACAGCAGAGGGGCTAAACCCTAGTGCTGGCAACAAACAGAGCTGATCCTGCTAACACTGCGTTTTTGGGGACCCTATACTAAGGGGGCACTAGTATAGTTCTGTTCATGATCAACATATTGATCTGTACATATTCACTGTACTAGTAATGATGGTGATCAGCGACCTATAGTGTGAGTGCGATGGTGTGCGGGCAATCTAACGCTAGCTGACCCTGGCTGGGTGGGGCGCTAACTGATCCTGACACTATCTGATGTTATTGGCAGTAATATAGTGATCAGTGAAAAATTCTACACTGACACTGAACCAACGGCACTGGCTGAGTGACAGGGGTGATCAAAGTGTTATAGGGGCAATCAAATGTTTAAATGTGCTAATCAAATGTGTGTAAGTAAAACATAGTGCTTTTGGTATGTGGTGTTCTCTCTTCCCTCCCTGGACTGACAGAGGGGGCAACGGGGGGTGGGGCAGCACACATGCACACTCACTCCTGGAAATAGAAAGCGACATAAGGGTACATCACTTTGCCCAGAGCTGTCGCTCACCTGCACACTGCGGGCAGGCCATTGGCAAGTAGTTAAAAAAAAAAAAAAAAAAAAAAAAAAATCAGGGATTTACACTTTGCATTGCAAGAGCAATAAAGAATATTGCTCCTGCAATGCAAACCTTGCTTTGAACTTCATTAATGGGTTAAGTTCATGACAGTACAAAATACTAGTGATCTGTGATTGGCTACAGCTAATCACATGGTACAGGGTGCTGTGATTGGCCCATGTACCATGAGAGAGCTGTAGGCCAATAACAGCTCACTAGAAAGAGAAACAAAGATGTTATGGAACAGATTGATTCATACCAGCTTTTCTAACATTGTGATCATGTGATGGTGCTGGGGGGGCGTCGCTCTGCCTGTAGCTGCCACCAGTCTGCAGTTCTTGTACTTGTGTCGGCAAGTGGTTAAACAGAACCCGGAAAACTTAAATGCTAATGAAAATGCTCAAAATAAACTAAAAAAAACACACACTTGCATCACTCAGGTGTGAATGCAGCTTTAACAAATGTTATTACAAAAATAGAATTATAAAAACATATCACCAACCTTGCATTCTAGGAGGGCTCAGTAAAGACTTCCTATATTGCTGGAAATAGAACACATCAGGTAGCTCTAGTGCTGTTATCCAATGAACGTGAATACTGCAAACATGAAGGTGGGTATAGCCTGTGATCTGTCAGAAAGAAGGTTTACATACAGTGGGGAAAAGTAATTATTTGATCAACTGCAGATTTTGTATGTTTGCCCACTTACAAAGAAATTAAGGGTCTATAATTTTTATCATAGTTATATTTTAAATGATAGAGGCAGAATATCAACCAAAAATCCAGAAAAAAAATCACATGATACCAATGGTATAAATTGAGTTGTAGTTCAGTGAAAATAAGTATTTGATCCCCTACCAACCAACAATAATTTTGGCTCCCACAGACTGGCTATGTGCTCATGTGGTACACTGATTAGTCCTGTCAATTTAAGGTGCTCCTAATGACAAATTGTTATGTGTATAAAAGACACCTGTCCACAGAATCTTTCTTCCATTCAACTCACCACCGTGGGCAAATGACCAAAGAGCTGTTAAAGGACATCAGTGACAAGATTGTAGACCTGCACAAGGCAGGAGTGGGCTACAAGACCATCAGCAAGAAGCTTGGTGAGAAGGAGACAACTGTTTGAGTGATTTTTCGCAAATGGAAGAAATACAAAATAACCATCAATCACCCTTGATCAGGAGCTCCATCAAGATTTTGCCTCCTGGGGTAAGAGGGGCCAATGGATGGGGCCATGTATTGTAAAATCTTGGATGAGAGCCTTCTTCCCTCGGCCAGAACACTGAAGATGGGTCTTCCAGCATGACAATGATCCAAAACATACCACCAAGGCAACAAAGGAGTGGCTCAAGAAGAACATTTGGGTCATGGAGTAGCCTAGCTAGTCTCCAGACCTTAATCCTATAGAAAATATATGGAGGGAACTGAAACTTCGAGTTCCCAAGTGACAGCCAAGATACCTTAAGGATTTAGAGAAGCTCTGTACAGAAGAGTGGACCAAAATCCCTCCTGAGATGTGTTCAAACCTGGTAACCAACAACAAAAGTCTTACCTCTTTGCTTGCCGACAAGGGTTTCTCCACCAAGTACTAATGTTTTGCTTGGGTATCAAATATGTATTTTGCTCACTGAACTGCAACTCAATTTATACCATTTGTATCATGTATTTTTTCTATACACACAGCAGGACTTAGCCCACTTCCTGTTCACTGCATTTGATTGACAGCAGCAAGATCCAATGGCTCCTGCTGCTGTTTGAGTCCCTGTGTGAAGAAAAAGTAAGGGGAGAGGAGATGTAGCCATGCAGAGCGCTGATCTCTTCTCCCCTTTCTTCTCCTTCACACAGGGAAGGGGGAGCGCAGGGAAACTAAAAATGTTTTATTACCTTTTAATGCAAGAAATGCATTAAGGTATTAAAACATTTTTAGGATTAGTATCGCTTTACTAGCCCATGGGGTAGGTGACTGAGAGAGGCAGATAGATGCTTCATTCAAGCAGAGATTCAAAAAGTAAAGGTTTCATACCGAATGTAAAGTCCATCCATCATGTAAAGAATGGAAAGAGCCACCTTTGGATCACATGGGAGAAACAAGACTGACAGGTTTCAGTGCTGTCCGAACTCCCTCAGAGACTGCCCACTTTCCAAATCCTCCATGCCATTGACTTGTGTTGTAATGAACAGTGAATAGTTTGGTGTGCATCAGGAAGGTCTGAGAGAAAAAAAAAAAAAGATTTTTTGCAGAAGTGATGTGATTTGCATGTCCCTTTTAACCTTTCTTTGAGGACTGAAAATTTGCACATAAAAAAAGTTCTTGTAAATTTAATGTGGTGTCTAACCTTTTCTTTTTTTTTTTTTCTTTAATTCTTATGAACTGTGTGTTCTCTAACATCAAAGTTGATTGCTGGCTTCTAAATGAAACTTACTGTAAGCTCTTAAACAAATTTGTTTACCCTTGTTATTTGTATGTGTGTTCCAACTCTAGGTGAGCTGTTATT